AACTGCTCTTCAGTGCTGTCCCCCGCGGCCTGCTTGGCAACGATCAGGTCGCCCAGCTTCCTCAGCCTCTGATCTGCGGTGCTCAGGAACTTCTGGATGCCTGCGCGGTCGGCCGGGGGCGCCTGCCACTTTGGGTGGGTGGTGGCCTGGTCCAGCGTGCATGCCGCCACTGAGTCGATGACCTTTTGAGCACGCTGGTCCGCTTTGCTGGAGCTGGCCTGGCCACCCTTGCCCGCCCTGGGCTGCTGCTGCTGCTGCTGCCAGGGATGCTGACTGGGCTGCTGGTGCTGCTGCTGTGGCCATTGGCGAGGGCTGGCCTGGCCAGAGCGTCGTGGCCGCGACGGCTCCCTGCGCCAGGGCGGTTCCTCAGCAGCTGGCTCGGCGTGCCAGTGCTGTTCTCGCCAGCCAGCGCCGTGCCACCTCTCCTGACGCCATGGGGGCGCTGCTGGCGGTGCTGCTTCCTCTTGGGCCTGGCCTTTGCCGCTACGGCCACCACCGCCTCTGCCCTTACCATCACGAGCCATCGCTGGCTGGGCGGAGTGGTGGGCGGCCAGGCGCTCGGCCGCTGCCCGCAGGCGGAGCAGGAGCCTGTCCTGGGCTCTCTGCTGCCGCTCGCGGCGGTGGGCAGCGCCCTCTGGAGCTCCTCCTCGATGATGACGCGGCGTCCCGCCGCTTGGCCGCAGCGCGGCCGCGAGCGCCGCGGCCTGCGGCAGGGGACAGGGAGGCACGGGTGGCCCCCTGCCGCAGGGTATGGCGCGCGGCGCGCGTGAGCCCGGCCTCGGGGGCTGGCCGATGCGCGATGCGCCCTGCCACCGCGATCGATCGGGCGGCAGGCGCCGACCGACCCCGATGGATCGATCGGGATCGGCTGGCCCCAAGAGGCCAAATGGCTTAAGAAGCCCTCCACCCTCTCCCCCAGCCCCCCTCTGCGCGTGGCTGGTTATGAGCGCCAGCTTCATGAGAAGGAGAGACGCATGCCCGACGGACAACACGATGTGCGTCACGATGAGTATCAGCATGAGCCTGGGGACTCGCGCCAACGCACTCCTCAGGAACACCTGGGTGATGGGCATCACGACACCCACCAGTATCAGATAGAGGACAAGGAGCGGATCGACGACGAGTTCGAGCATCATGAGCGGGGGTAGGATCGAGACGAACAGCACGGGGTTCACCACGAGCCCCGTGCTCATCTCTGCCCACGCGCCGCGGCCGAGCGGCCACATCAGGATGACATGTGACAGCTTGCCGAACAGCTTGAAAGCACCCTGAAACATTGCTGGGGCAGCACCGCCACGCAGCTGCTTAGCGAAGACGGCACCAATCTTGACAAACGAACGTCGCACACCCACACCGCACCCCTAGGGGTGACGGAGTGCTCCACGGGTGCGTGCTGTCGGATGGGGGTCCCTGCTCGAACGGGAGCCTCCCCGGCGGTCCGACAAACCGCACCCATACCCAAAGCCAGTCCCACTCTCTCTCGCCGGCCCTGGGGCGGCTGACAGCCCCGGGAGGAGGAGGCGGAGGAGGAGGAGGAGGAAAAGGAGGAGGAGGAGGAGGAGGGGGAGGAGGAGGGGGAGGAAGAGGAGGGGGAGGAGGAGGAGGAGGAGGAGGAGGAAAGAGAAAAAGCGTTAGGTCTGGTATGTCCTCCAGGAGGCGGATGTTGGACGAACGATGAAGCTTAGCCTGACGAGAAACCCAACCATAAACAGTTGTGGATACCGCATTCTGGGTCCATCGTTCGACGGGCCTCCCTATGGGGCCATGAACTGTGTGAGGGGTGTGCCAAAATGGACGGTGAACCGCATGCAAACCCTGCCACTGGGGCCTTGGGTGGAGCTCCATATGGGGCCACGAAACGTGTGAGGGGCGTGCCGAAATGAGCGGGGATGCCGATGCCGACATGGGCGGAAACATGTGCCGACATGGGCGGGGAACCGCATGTGGACCCTGCCACGGGTGCTTCGGTGGAGCCCCCTATGGGGCCACGTAACACGGCACTGGGTGGGGGGACCGCATGCGGGCACCCCCGCTAGGGCCTTCGGTGGACGGCGAAATGGGCATGCTGTGGGCGGGGTGGACGCTTGCGAACCCTGCCACTGGGGTTTTGGGGGCCATGTTTCCTATGGAGCCGCGGACCGTGTGAGGGGCGTGCCGAAATGGGCATGCGGTGGGCGGGGTGGACGCATGTGAACGCGGCCACTGGGGTCTTCGGTGGGGCCCCATGTGAGGCCACGAACCGTGTGAAGGGTGTGCCGAAATGGGCATGCGGTTGGCGGGGTGAGCGCATGTGGACGCGGCCGCTGGAACCTTCGTTGGGTGGAGCTCTCTATGGTGCCACGAACCGTGTGACGGTGTGCCAACATGGGCATGCGGTGCGCGGGGTGGACGCATGTGAACGCGGCCAGTGGGGCTTTGGGTGGGGCTCCCTATGGGACCACGAACCGTGTGAGGGGTGTGCCGACATGGGCATGCAGTGGGCGGGGTGGACGCATGTGAACACGGCTGCTGGGGCCTTGGGTGGGACTCTGTATGGGGCCGCGAACCGTATGAGTGGTGTGCCGAAATGGGCATGCGGCGGGCGGGGTGGACGCATGTGGACGCGGCCGTTGGGGCCTTGGGTGGAGCTCCCTACGGGGCCACGAGCCATGTGAGCGGTGTGCCGAAATGGGCATGCGGTGGGCGGGGTGAACGCATGTGGGCGCGGCCACTGGGGCCTGTGGTGGAGCTCCCTATGAGGGCACGAACCGTGTGAGCGGTGTGCCGAAATGGGCATGCGGTGGGCGGGGTGAATGCATGTGGACGCGGCCACTGGGGCCTTGGGTGGAGCTCCCTATGGAGCCACGAACCGTGTGAGGGGTGTGTTGAAATGGGCATGCGGTGGGCGGGGTGGACGCATGTGAACGCGGCCACTGGGGCCTGGGGTGGAGTTCCCCTTAGGACCACGAACCATGTGAGGGGTGTGCCGAGATGGGCATGCGGTGGGCGGGGTGGACGCATGTGAACTGTACACGGCCGCGGGGGCCTTGGGTGGGCCCACTTATGGGTCAACAAACTGCGTGATGTAGTGCCGAAATGGGCATGCGGCGGGCGGGGTGGACGCATGTGCACGCGGCCCCTGGGGCCTTGGGTGGACCTCCATATGTGGCCACGAACCGCGTGAAAGTTGTGCATTGTGAGGAAGTCTCAAGCGGGAACCCCCTCCCGATGGGTCCCAAGTTGGTAATCCGAGCGGGCCATCGGCAACCTGTAGTTGTCGTCATTGTTGCCCCCCCCCCCCCCCCCGGGCTTGAATTTGGAGGAAGTATTAAGCGGGGGCCTCGTCTGCGTGGATTGTGAGGAAGTCTCAAGCGGGCGCCCCCTTCCCGATGGGCCCCGCATTTAACGTTGGTAATCCGAGCGGGTCACCAGCAACCTGTAGCTGTCGCCACTTTTGGGCTCCCCAGGCTTGAATTTGGAGGAAGTATCAAGCGGGAGCCTCGTGAGGGAGTCTCAGACGGGGGCCCCCTCCCTATGGGTCCCGCTCGGACCGCGGCGGCGACGGCGCCGAGGAAAATCGACTTGCTTGCCCTGGCCAGGGGGAAGGGGATGAACGCGCGGAGAAGAAGCAGGGGGAGGACGAGGACGGGGAAGGGGTAGGGAGGGGGTGATGGTGAGTACGAAGTGGAGAAGGAGGAGGAGGAAGAGGAGGAGGAGGAGAAGGATAAATAACCTGAGGGGGAGTAGGTGAGGGCAGAACGGCGGGCGAGAGGAGAGTGTCCGTCAGGGCGAGAGGGAAAAGGGTTAGGGCAAATTAAACATATTATCCTGCGGGGTCCTTTCGTCGGAATAGCTTGTTGCTCGCGAGCGCAAACGGGGAGAGCCGCGCGCCGTCGCAAGGGTCAAGCAAGACGAACTGCCACGGCCAGAGACAAAAGCGACGAGCAAGCAGCACGAGCAGAAGTCAAGGACGGCCAAGCCCGCCTGCCGAAGTGGCCCTCAGCAAATTTGTCCTCAGCGAACTTGTCCTCAACGACCTTCTCCTCAACGAACTTCTCCTCAGCGAACTTGCCCTCGGCTACGCGACGGCATTTGCCGAATGTGGGGCACGGGCACCACCGCCGTCGTCAAGAACGAACCCTGTGACCACACCACGTGGGCCAGCCACAAGTAAGTGCCCTCAGAAGTCCTACATCAGTCGGCGACGCGTGCCGTCCAATCAGTCGGCGTGCCACGGACCATGGCCACCGAACGGAACCAGCGAAGAGCGACGGGTGCAAGCCAAAGTGGCGCTGCGCTGACCAGAGCCCCCCCCCCCGCGGGGAGACAGCCGCAACCTGCTGGTGGTGTGACGCGGAACGTCTAGAATTCCTTACAGCCGCTGTACGATCTGATCAAGGACCAACTCGAAATGTGCGAGGGGGGTGGAATAATTGGCGTGGTCGGGCATACGAGCCCTGCCACTTGGGCCTTGGGTGAATCTCTTATGGGGGCACGCAAACGTGTGACAGGGGTGTGCCAGAATGGGCGTGGTCAGGCATGCGAGCCCTGCAATTTGGGCCGTCTGTGGAGCTCCCATGGGGCAACTAAACGTGTGAGGGGTGTGCCGAAACAGAGACACGCGGAGGACAAAGGCAGGGAGGAGGAGAAGGAGAAGGGGAGAAAAGAAGGAAGAAAGGGAGGAGGGAGGAAGGAACGAAAAAAGGAAGGAATGGAAGAAGGCAGGAAGGAAGGAAAGAAAGAAGGAAGGAGGCTGATCTAAAACGAGGGCCCATCACCACAGGAGTTTCTAGGAGCAGCAAGAAATGCGAGAGCCGAGGGGGGACATTCAAAACGTGAGAACTGAACAGCAGAAACAACGCGAACCTAGGTCCTCGGCCTCGTCGTCCTCCTCGTCCTCGGCCTCGTCGTCCTCCTCCTCCTCCTCCTCCTCCTCTTCGCCCTCGTCCTCCTCCTCCTCCTTCTCCTCCTCCTCCTCCTCCTCCTCCTCCTCCTCCTCCTCCCCCTCCTCCCCCTCGGTCCTGAGCAGCGCAAAGTACTTGAAGTTGGCCCAGCGCGACTGGTCCCTGCTGGTGTCGTTGACCCAGCTGAGGACGGTCGGGCGCTTGCTCTCGGACCGGACCGTCGATCTCTTGGAGTGCGCGCGCTTGAGATGCCCCTGCGCGGAGCCCCGAAAAAGTCCGACACTGCACTTGCGGAGGCTGCTGGTACAGTCGGACCTAGGCCAGAAGGACATCCGTCAAGAACATGAGACCCTCCGTCGGCCAAAACAAACAGAACATCCAAGGGTACCCTCCCCAGGATGCGCAAGGACATCCAGCAAACACGAAGAACACTAGGGTACCCTCCCCGAACCGACCTCGATCTTACACCTCGGCTGGAGTGGAAGGAGGAGGAGGGGAGGAGGGAGGAGCACAGTATTCGGCCTGACCTACGGAACGACGAGCAAGGAACGAAGCCCCTCGTTTTCCACGCAAGTCTGGGAAGCCCGACGGAACACCAGAGGGGGCTCGCCGCCAAAAAGGTAGCGGAACGCATGCAAACCAAAGGAACGACCGAGCCTCTTTTGAAAAGAGAGCGTTCCTTATTCAAGCCGGACCTTGTAGAGGGATCCGCGGCGAGCGAGGGGGGGGGAGGAGGAGGAGGAAGGCGGCGGAACTTCTCAGCAGCGCTTCAGCCTGCCTGCCGAGGAGTTTCTCGTACCTCTGCGGGGGAGACTCGGAGAACCTCTCCCAAGGCCCCGGGGGCCTCCGGACCTTCCGAGAAGGCCCGCCCCCTCTCACTTCCCCTCCCCGGGCTGGCCGCCGAAGGGAGGAGGGGGGCTGGCTGAGTGGGGAGGGAGAGGGAGGGCGACGGGCACATAGGGGCTGGCCTGCGCGCAGACCCTCGGCGCTCGTCGTTGCTTTCGCTGCTGGCGGGGGCGGCAATTCGCCTCCCCCCCCCCCCCCCCCGTCGAGCCCAGCACGGGTCCGCTTCCGGCGTGAGCTAATCCTGGGGGCGATGGGTGGGGGGGGGAGAGAAAGGTGCTGCACCCCACGCGCCCCTTTTGGGGCCTCAGAGGGCCCCTTCAGGACCCCTTTAGGGTACCAGAAGGCGCACCTTTCCTCGCCCCCCCCCCCTGTTCATCGCACCGCCAATGCTCGACGCCCGATCGCTGTTGCTAAACCACGTCCGTGCGTATGGTTCCCTTCTGCTGACGACGTGGCGCCAAGACCACAGTGGCGGGCGGGCCCTTGCATGGTTTCCACGAGAGAAGTGGTCGAGCGGCAACGCAACGGGACGCACCACACCAGTGGCCTCTCCACCACCGGACTGGGCAAGAGCAAAGTACGGCGCCACACGGCGAAACTCGAAGTCCGAGAGCCCAACTTCGTTTTCGCTCGGCCCGGTCGGTTTCGCTGTATACGGACCTTTGCCAATACACAGCGAAACCGAAGGGGATCATCGCAACGCGAGGGGCGAAAAACAACTCCAACTTCGGTGTCCGCTCGGTTTCGCCCTCATTTCCTGGCCGGGCACGGGCATAATTCAACTGGGTGGCCGAGGCGCATATTCGGCCTCACTGCTCAAGCTCGACTCCGACCCCGGCCGCCTCTGAAGCCTCCGTGGGCCCCCAAAGGGCCCAAACCTGCCAGAACTTCTTGATCGTGCTCCTCGCTCTGATACTCCTCCTCCCTCCTACCCTTAGCTGCCCCGATACGCAACACGCAACACGTGTCGTGTTGATACGAAGCTAAACACGTAGGCTGAATACGTAGGTCCGACGCGACACACTCGCCAAAACGTGGTCCAATACGTGGAGTCAACACGCAACGTATTGACACGGACGTCCTGAACACGGGACGCATTGCGTTTCAAGACGGGCGTGTCAAGGCAACTTAGCTCCTGCCTGGCCTCGGGCGGCGGGGGGGAGATGGGGGAGCACGGGTGCTGCACACGCTCCGCCGTGGAGCCTCCCGCGCCGCAGCGAGACGTCGCCGGGGAGCGCCTGCTCCTGGGACTTGGACGCCCGAAATGGGCACGGAAAGAATGGGTACAATTAGGTCGGGCCTGTCCCCCTACAGGGGGATTTTGGGCGAAAAATGAAAGAAAAAAAAAGGCAAACATACTCCAAAAATCATCCCCATACTATTTTTTTGATAGTTTTGACACTATTTTTGGTGTTTTTTAATTTTCTTGTTTTTTTTATACAAAAAAATCGTCCAAAGTCCCCCTGTAGGGGGACAGGCCCGACTTCAGGGTACAATGCCCAACAATAAATGTTGTCCCAAACCAACAGCGGCCGCTGTTGGGCAGGCGGCCTTCTGTCTCAAATGGGCACAGGCCGCGGCGGCGCGGACAGCGAGTCCTGTTCAGAATGAACAAGAACTGCTGTTGAGCATTGTACCCATTCTTTCCGTGCCCATCTCGTTCGTGCAGACCTGGGAGCGACCGTGAGATCGCGAACGCCGGGCGCACGCTGACATGGACTGCGAGTCCGTGGGTCTGGCGCGCGGGCGCCAGGTGCACGGATCGGGGGGCTTGCCCAGCAAAAGATGGCGCTGGTGCCCCCCGATGTGGTGACGGAGCGCATCGACTTCGCATGGACGCGCCACCGCGCGCAAGCGGCAGTGGGGCCGGCGGGGCCGAGCGCAGCTGCGCAAGCCCCTGGCGTCCCGCCCGGCGGAGCTGCTTTCCTTCGAGCGAGCCCCGCCTACGAGCGCGAGGCGGGATGCCCAGGGAGCACCGGCAGGGCCCGGCGGCCGCGGCATGCAATAATCATGCGCTGGGGCACACGTTGGGAATGGCGGCCGCGGTGTGCGGGATGTGCGAGGCGGCCTGGGACTCTCTGCATTAAAACTAGCCGGAAATGTCCCCCTACAGGGGGATTTTGGACGAAGCATAAAACATATATTAAAATGATCCCAGTGCGACCCGACCTAGGAGTTGGAGCCTCCAGGGAAACAACATTAGTAGGAGCGGTAAACGCCGTCCTCCTCCTTCTCTTCATCGTCGTAGTTGTAGCAGTAGCGGTAGTAGTAGTAGTAGTAGTAGTAGTAGTAGTAGTAGTAGTAGTAGTAGTAGTAGTAGTAGTAGTAGTAGTAGTAGTAGTAGTAGTAGTAGGGTAGTAGTAGTAGTAGTAGTAGTAGTAGTAGTAGTAGTAGTAGTAGTAGTAGTAGTAGTAGTAGTAGTAGTAGTAGTAGTAGTAGTAGTAGTAGTAGTAGTAGTAGTAGTAGTGGTGGTGGTGGTAGTAGTAGTCGTACTAGTAGTAGTAGTAGTAGTAGTAGTAGTAGTAGTAGTAGTAGTAGTAGTAGTAGCGCCAGAACCGCCGACGCCACGCGGTAAGTGAAGCTGCAGCAGAAGCAAAAGCAGAAGCAGGCCGCAGCGAAGCTCGGTATATATAGCAGCGGCAATAGTGGATGCTGTGCTGCGCAATGCTATGTTATGCTATGCTATGCTATGCTCTGCTCTGCTATGCTCTGCTATGCTGCGCAATGCTATGCTGGGCCAGGCTAGGCTAGGCTATGCGATGCTATGCTATGCGATGCTGCGCTAGGTTATGCTGCGATATGTTATGCTATGCTATACTATGCTATGCTATGCTATACTATTCTATGCGTTTGCTTTGCCTTCGCTTTTGCCTTTGTTTTTGCCTTTGCTTGGCACCCAGGGAGCGCAACTTGGGGAACCGCGCGTTTGCTTTTACCTTTGCTGTTGCTGTCGCTTGGCTCCCAGGGGACTGGGGGAACCGCCCGGGGCGATTTCCACTGCCCGGCAACTTTAAGCTAAGAAAGTAAGAACCCTTCTAGGCAGAGCTTAGGTAGGGAACAACTATTCGTTTTTTTTTTTTTTTTTTTTTTTTTTAAAAAAAAAAAAAAAAAAAAAAAAAGATCGTCCCCTGGACATGTTTCGACTATTTTTGAACATCCCCCCTGTAGAGGGACAGGCCCGACTTAAAACTAGCAGCCCCAACCATCCAGCTGGGAGCAGCCCGAGTCTCGCCAGGAAAGAGCAGAGGTCCTGGGAGAAACAGGCCGTCGTCCCCGGGACTCCCCCCAGGGGCCAATTCTTCATCCCGAGGCGTCCTCTGACCGTTTTTGTTGGGGTCCGTGGCGAGCTCCGGGGGCCCAGAGGGGCGGCGCAGCGACCCCTTTCGTGTAGCAGCTCCGCGCTGAAAGTCGGCCGTCCCATCCTTTTGGACGCCCGACATGGGTACGGAAAGAATGGGCACATTGCCCACCAACAAAAGTTGTCCCAAACCAACAGCGGCAGCTGTTGGGCAGGCGGCCCTCTGTCTCGAATGGACACAGGCCGCGGCGGCGTGGACGGCGAGCCCTGTTCAAAATGAGCAGGAACTGCTGCTGGGCATTGTGCCCACTCTTTCCGTGCCCATCTCGTTCGTGCAGACCTGGGAGCGACCGTGAGATCGCGAACGCCGGGCACACGCTGACATGGACTGCGAGTCCGTGGGTCTGGCGCGCGGGCCCTCTGTCTCGAATGGACACAGGCCGCGGCGGCGTGGACGGCGAGCCCTGTTCAGAAGGAGCAGGAGCTGCTGTTGGGGATTGTGCCCACTCTTGCCGCGCCCATTCTGGCCATCGCTCGGACGTCCATTTTCTGTGTTTTTTTTTCGGTTTCGTGCGTGGCTGTTTCGCCAAATGATCAAGGATGCTCCTCCATGGTCCTCGCCGAAGAATCAAACGCACACGTCCGAGCGATGCCAAGCATCTCGTTCGTGCAGAGTCCTGGCCCTGGTCACTCGTGCCGCGCCGGTCTCGGGGCGGCGGCGCGCGAAAGAGAGGGCGCCGCAGGCGCGGCGGGCGGGCCCTGCAAGTGGGAGGACCGAAGGGTACGGTCATCGGCCGGACCTAAGAAACGATAAATCGAAGGGGCCCCAGGACACACAAATAAATACACACAAATAAAAATATCCCCCATATTTTCCTATATTTTCTGGGTTTCTGTCTTCCCCCCCACTGCCCATATTTTCCCATATTTTCTGGGGATCGACGATTAATTGTCTCTGTGTGTTTTTTCCCTCCTGAATAAATCAGGAACGAAGCCCCTTGTCGTTCCAAGAGAGTCTGCGAAGTCCGAAGGAACACCAGAAGGGGGCTCGCCGCCCAAACAAGTGGCGGAACGCATGCAAACCCAAGGACCGACCGAGCCCCTCTTGAAAAGGAAGCGTTGCTTATTCAAGCCGCTCACTGTACCAGTTCCGGGAAAACCGAAAAGTACCGATACCGCTGCTCGCCAGAATCCTCCCGGGGTGCATGCCGACCAGACTTTCGAGGCGAATCCAGCGGTGGCGACGAGGGCATCCCGGGAGGCCCAAGAAGGGGAAAACGAGGGAGGGACATCGGTATGGATACCTCTGCCCCCTCTTGGGTGAGAGGGCAGGGGGCCTCTCTCAGGGACGATGCTCCCCTCGGGGCCTCTGGGACGGCCTCTTGGAAGAAAGTGGGGCGGCCTCCGAGGGGCGCTGGGGGCGTGATTGCAAGGCCGACCCCCTCGCCTTCAGTGGGGCATGTCCTCCAACTTTTAAACCAAAAACCCAAAATATTCCAAACTGGCAAGACAATAGTCAAAAAACCGCCCCCCGGACTATTTTGTGACAATCTTCGAATATTCCTCCGGTGGAGAGACGGGCCCGACTTCACCCTCGCCCTGACCTCGCGTGTCCGCCCCACCGGCGGCCTCCCTGGGTGCCGAGGAAGCGGGCGCTAGGAAGGGAAGCGGGCTCTGGACCCTCGGGCTTCCCTCCTCCAAGCCAGCTGTCCACTCTGCGCCCTCTCGCCGTCTCTCTCCTCCTTTCTTTCTGTTGTTTGTTGTTCTGTTTATATCTCTCTCTCTCTCTGTCTCTCTCTCTCTCTCTCTCTCTCTCTCTCTCTCTCTCTCTCTCTCTGTATATTTATATATATATATATATATATATATATATATATATATATATACATACATACATACATATATATATATATATATAATATATATATATCCGCTGGCCCCCTTGTGGGGCCACCAGGCTGTAGGCCCGTGATTAGCAGTTTCCTGTACCAGTCGTAGGTTGTAGTTTCCAGTGTTACAGTTCTGCTTCTTGCTGGTTACTGTAACTAGTTGACTTATTGCTGGTTACTGTAACTAGTTGATTGACCGCGCGAGGGGGGGGGAGGCCCAAACCGGCTTTTTAGCACCCCCTGGGCGCGTTGTCTGAATTGCTGGGGGGGCTCGAAATCGACACCCCTCACGCAGATCCGCGGGGTCAGGGTCCAAAAACACATGGGATTTGCCACATTTCTGAAATTCGGTGCCACCCCTCACGCAGATCCGCGGGGTCAGGGTCCAAAAACACACGGGATTTGCCACATTTCTGAAATTCGGTGCCACCCCTCATGCAGATCCGCGGGGTCAGGGTCCAAAAACGCATGGGATTTGCCACATTTCTGAAATTCGGTGCCACCCCTCACGCAGATCCGCGGGGTCAGGGTCCAAAAACGCATGGGATTTGCCACATTTCTGAAATTCGGTGCCACCCCTCACGCAGATCCGCGGGGTCAGGGTCCAAAAACGCAAGGGATTTGCCACAGTTCTGAAATTCGGCGCCACCCCTCACGCAGATCCGCGGGGTCAGGGTCCAAAAAACACAGGGGATTTGCCACATTTCTGAAATTCGGTGCCACCCCTCATGCAGATCCGCGGGGTCAGGGTCCCAAAACACCGGGATTTGCCACATTTGTGAAATTCGGTGCCACCCCTCACGCAGATCCGCGGGGTCAGGGTCCAAAAACACAAGGGATTTGCCACATTTGTAAAATTCGGCGCCATCCCTTACGCAGATCCGCGGGGTCAGGGTCCAAAAACACAGGGGATTTGCCACATTTCTGAAATTCGGTGCCACCCTTCACGCACATCCATCGCAAGGCGTGGTAACCCAAACTGCGAGAACTCCCTCGGCCCTTTAATCGCAAGGTGTGGTAACCAAGCCCGTAAACCATACACGTCTTACCAATCGCCAGGTGTGGTAACCCCGCTTGTGATAAGTTGGTTTTGCTGATTGCGAATCGGCTTCGCATGAAGTTTCGATACTGCTTCACGACAGCGCCAAGGCCTCATGACTTAGCTCTTCCATGGCCCATTCTCCGAGAGAGGGAGCCGGCGGCAGGGGGCGAAGCCCTTACGGATGCATAAATGTCTATACAAACATAATATGTATATGTATATGTATGTATATATATATGTATATATATGTATATATATATATGTATGTGTATATATATATATATATATATATATATATATGTGTGTCTTTCTCTCTCTCTCTCGCCCTCATACGGCCCAGGGGCCTGGATGGGGGCCCCGAGAGGCCACCCAAAAGCTGCGGAACGTCTCAGAACCCTCCCGCCCTTCTGCCCCAGGGCCCCCTCTGTTTACAGCGGCCTCTCGGACAGGGGGCATTGGGGGGGGAGGCGGCGGGAGAGAGGATGAAGAGGGGTGGGAAGGAGGATTTTTTTCCACCGTACATCCAGCCCACCCGCGCATCGGCCGCGCGGAGCCGTCGCGCGCGGCCGCGCGGCGCGGCCGCGGCGCCCCGCCCATGCGGGCGACGGGCGAGCCCGCCCGTGCGGGACGGGGAAAAAGCCTCGCCACACGGAGGAGGAGGAGGCGGAGGAGGAGGAGGAGGAGGAGGCGGAGAAGGAGGCGGAGGCGGAGGCGGAGGAGCAGGAGGAGGATGACCGCGACTGGCGAGCCTGCGCCGCGGGGTCGTGGTCGACGTCGCTCGGCGCCGGCGACGTGCTTGGCCTCGGGGGCTCCGGGCTCCCCTCCGGACGCCGCGCCGGCTCCGACGCCTGGCACTCTCTGCAGCCCACCACAGTAGACGCGTACGACAAGAGATATTGCTGGAAGAAAGCTCGGGGCACAGTCTTCCTTTTAGGTCGGGCATGTCCCCCCTGCGGGCGGAGCTTGGACGAAAGGTGAAAAGTCCCCAGCACAAATCCACAGACAATACCAAAAAACACTAAAAACAAATCGTCCCCAGACTGGTTTTTGCTGGGCCTGATTTCCACCACCACCACCACCATAAGTTGGATGGGGGGAAGGAGGAGGAGAACGAGGAGGAGGAGGAGGCAGAGGAGAAGGAGGAGGTGGGGGAGGAGGACGACGACCCCCTCCCCCTCAAACTGATGGTGGTGGTGGTGGTGGTGGTGGTGGTGGTGGTGGAAACAGGCCCGTCAGTTTTTGACTGTTTCGAAACATTCCTCCTGTAGAGGCACATGCCCGACTGAATTCTTCGCCGACCCTCGAGGGCTGGGAGGTGCCCCGCAGCGCGCCCGTGGGCCCCCGCAGGGCCAGCAGGGGGGGAGGGAGCACGAGCCTCCTGTGCGGGGCACCTGCTGGGGGGGGCCGATCTCCTCGCAGGCGTGTCTGCTGCAGGCCCCAAGTCCTCGTCCTCCTCCTCCTCCTCCTCCTTTTCCTCCTCCTCCTCCTCCTCCTCGTCCTCCTCCTCCTCCTCCTCTTTTTCCTCCTCCTTTTCCTCCTCCTCCTCCTTCTCCTCCTCCTCCTCCTCCCTCTCTTCCTCCTCCTCCTCGGGCACCCGCTTCTTGCGGGGGAGCTGCTCCTTCGACGGCCCGCAGGGGCCCCGACGAACCCCACGCTCGGGCAGCCCGCCAGCCCGACGCGCTCGTCGTCGGCGGACGGGGGGCGAACTCCAAGAGAAGCGGAGACCCTCCGCCGGACCAGCGGTGCCGGTGTCGTGTCTTCGCGCCCGTGCGCGTGGAGGCGAGGCGAAGCCTGCGTGCGCGGGGCGGGAGGAGCGATGCCTCCGCAGCCGGGGCGAGGCCATCGCAGGGAGGACGCTCCTCCCGTGCGGATGGCGGGTTGGGCCCGCGGCTGTGCCGCGGCTTTGCCCGTGGCTGTCCCGCGGCTGTCCCGCGGCAGTCCCGTGGTTGTGTTGAGGTTGCCCCTTCCCCGATGGTCGTCCCGATGGTTATCTCGATTTTGCCCCGAAGGCTATCCCGATGTTTGTTCCGATGGATGTCCCGACGATTGTCCCCGTTGTTTTTCTTTTCTCCACCGAGCAGTTTTCCCGATGGTTGTCACGATGGTTGTCCCGATGGCTGTCCCATGAACTTCGGAAAAATGCGCTTGGCGTCATCGGCGCCTCGAGATATTGACCAAGCTGCAGCAATAAATGCGCTGATCGCCTCGATGTTTGTCCCGATGCAGAAATACACACACACATATATATATATATATATATGTATACACATGTGTTTCTATGTAGCAAGGCGAACGGATAGATAGTGGTATCGATGAACATATTATGAAGTCGATCGAGGGATCGATAGTGAGGTTAACTGTGTGACAAATAAATAGTGGGACCACCATGTAGATAGAAAAGCCGACATGTAGGCACTGTGATCGATGTACCTGTGAGATCGATATACCGTGAGATCGGTAGACGTCGAATGAGGTCGATGGCGATATCGGCAGACTTGAAGGGGCCCCAGGACACACAAATAAATACACACCCACATATTTTCCGATATTTTCTGGGTGTTTGTTTTCCCCCCCACTTCCCATATTTTCCCATAATTTCCGGGGGATCGACGATTAATTGTGTCTGTGTGTTTTGGTCCCTCCTGAAGATTGGTCTGCCGATACATCGACGAGTAGACTGATCAGCCCCAAGGAGGCCCCATGCAGCACCCCAAGAGAGCCCGAAACGACGGCCGAGCGAGACCCCAAGCCTGCCCGCGGCGGCGCCAAACGGCCCGAGGAGCGACCCCAGGACGCCTACGAAGAGCCGGACGATGGCCCGAGAGGACCCCTGACCTTTGTGGGCCCCAGAAACGGCAGGGCGTTTTTTTCATTGTTTCCCAAAAAAATATCCCTTCAAAATGGAAGCGGCGAAAAAACGGTGACGGGAAACGGCAAGAAAACGGCTCCAGGACTGGAACCGCAGCCGGAACTGGTCAAAAAACGGCGACGGAACCCGTGACAAAACGGCGTCGGAACCGGCAACAAAAGCGGCAAACCGGAACCGGTAACAGAAACGGCCCTGTCGTTTCCAGGGCCCACTAGGCCCCTGACGCGCCCCCGCAGGGCTGCAGAGGCCTGCCAACAGAAGGTAGCCCCCTGAGACGGCCCAGAGGGTCCCTCTTCATGCTCCGCAGGGGGGCACGCACCGTCCGCAAGAGTGGCCGCATGATCGATCGAGGCTCCGCGATGTAGGCGCTTCCCAAAGGGCAGGTGGCGGAAGGGGCGCGCCGAGGGCGTTTCCGACATGAAAGGGAGGAGCAGGAGCAGGGTAACCAGGAAGGTGAGCAGGAGATGCACGAAGGGGATGGCGAAGAGGAGAAGGAGGCACGCGAAAGAGGACCACGGCGGCTCATGGGGGCCGAGGGGCGAAGGAGGACTGACGCTGAGCGCGGACCAGAACATGCCATGAACGAATACAGAGCGCGCCAACCGAGGAGACTTTGAGGCCGTTGCGAGAGGAGGTGATGAAGGGGCCCCAGGACACACAAATAAATACACACAAATTAAAATATTCCCCATATTGTCCCATATTTTCTGGGTTTCTGTCTTCCCCCCACTTCCCATATTTTGCGATATTTTCTGGGGAATCGAGGATTAATTGTGTCTGTGTGTTTCTTTTCCCCTCCTGAGAGGAGGTGAGCTGACAAGATGCGCCGCACGAGAAGTCCAGCGATTCATGCCACCGAGCACGGGAGAGAACAGCACGGCCTCGACTCGGCAGACCCTCCGATGCCAGCCGGTAACGGGCTGGCTCTGCCGGATGGAGGTCACAGAGGGAAACGACTCTTCCACCGCAGTACATTATTGAAGGGGCCCCAGGACACACAACAAAATACACACAAATAACAGGATTCCCTATATTTTCCAAGTTGTTCTGGGTTACACAGAAATAAACACACACAAATAACAGGGTTCCCCATATTTTCCAAGCTGTTCTGGGGTTTTGTTCCCCCCACTTCCCATATTTTCCCATCCTTTTCTGGGGAATCGGCGATTAATTGTGCCAGCGTGATTTTTCCATCCTGAAGTCATACGGAAATCAGGGCGCACGTGCTCACAGCCCGTCCACGGGTCGAGCGGACTGGCAACGGCACAAGCGAGCGCAGAAGGCTGGTTCAAATGGTTTGCGTGCGTGCATGCATGACTCGGCGTGCCGCGCGTATGTTAACGGGCGAAGAACGGTATAACATAAAATTTTACGCCGTCGGGGACACCTGCCCCAGGGCGGCTGGAAAGTTTGTACCCTTACGGTGGCACCGTAGGGGTATAAACTTTCCAGCCGCCCAGGGGCAGGTGTCCCCGACGGCGAAAAAGTTTATTTTATACCGTTCTTCGCTCGCTGAGTATGGGTTGCTTTGGCCCGTGCCCACGCAGCACGCCCCAGCACGGAAAAGAGGGAGATGAGGCACTGCTCGACACGGCGTGGCGAGGCAGAGGCAGACGGCACACAGACAGAGACCCTCGAAGCACCGCGCGGACGTCTTGGATCGGCGCGGGGTGCCCCTCCCTGGCGCGCGGAACGCGCCAGGAGGGCGGCGCCGGAGGCGCCGCCAGGGGGGCCCAGCGCCGATCCGAGAGGTCCGGGCGAGCCTCCGAAGAACTCGACATGATGCACTCTCTCTTCTTCATGTGGTACAGTCGGGGCTTTGACCTAAGGAACTCTAGATAAGGAACGAGGCCCCTATTTTCCATCAGTTAAACTTCGATTTTCCCATCGGAAACATCAGGAAAACATTGGGCAAGGTGTGGAACAATTAAGGAACACCGAGCCCCTCCCCAACGAAAAGGGTTCCTTCTTCAGTGCCCCGACTGTATGCACTCTCTCTTCTTCGTGTGCTGGCGGCGGCTTGGGCCCAGTGCAGCCAGGCAGCCTCACTGCGCCCCGGAGGAGGACGAGGAGGAGAGCAGGAGGCGGGGGGAGAGCAGCAAAGGGGGGACGACACGAGGCAGGAGCTGGGCAACCGCGGCCTCCCCATCTCACCCGTCTGGCGGGCGAGGCTGGAGCGAGAGAGGGGGAGGAGGGAGGGAAGCGGGGGAGGATGGGGGGGAGGGGGGAGGGAGGGAAGTGGGGGAGGAGGGGAGGAAGGGGGGGGGGGGAGGGGGAGGAGAGGGGGAGGAGCGAGGGCAGTGGGGAGGAGGGGGGAGGACGAGGGAGGAGGGCTGGAGGTGTGGAGGAGGCGCTGTCCTGAGCCCTCCTGAGGCAGAAGCCACGCGCCACAGCCAAGCTCCCCGAGCCTCGTGCAGCCGTGTCGGCGAGCCCCCCCCCCCCCCCCGAAGGCCACCTACACTTGTCTCAACTCGCCCTCCTCTGACCACTTGCCCCCTCCTCCTCCCTCCTCCTCCTCCTCCTCCTCCTCCTCCTCCTCCTCTCCTCCTCTCCCTCCTCCTCCTCCTCCTCCTCCTCCTCCTCCTCCTCCTCCTCCTCCTCCTCCTCCTCCTCCTCCTCCTCCTCCTCCTCCTCCTCCTCCCCAGAGGACTGGGCGCGCAGCCCCGCGACAACGTGGTTGTATTGTTTTCACGACGCAGGCCCCCGGACGTCTCGACCCGCTCCCTGGGACCGACGGGGGGGCTGTTCGAGGACACCGACCAGCGTGGGTCATATCTGGCCGACCCTACCTTCGCGCCGGGGAAGCACATCCTCCCTCCTCCCTCCTCCCTCCTCCCTCCTCCCTCCTCCTCCTCCTTCCTCCTCCCTCCTCCCTCCTTCCTCCCTCCCTCCTCCTCCCTCCTCCCTCCTCCCTCCTCCCTCCTCCCTCCTCCCTCCTTCCCCGCAGCACGCTCCGCCTCGCAGGCGGACGCCGCCCCGCGGGGCGGGGGGCGGAGAACAGCCCGTGACGCCGACGCCCTAAGCGGCAAGTGGGTTGCCAGTGCCCTAAGCGGCTTACGGGGGGCAAAGATCTGGACGAAGTGGGCGGAGCCCACTTCGCAAAGTTACCGAGCCCCGTCAAGCCACTGTGGGCAGTCCTAGCCCATTGAGAAGCTAGGTCAGGCCAGACGTAACCCACTGTAGCATCCCCTCAGAGCCCCTCCCCAACGAAAAGGGTTCCTTCTTCAGTGCCCCGACTGTATGCACTCTCTCTTCTTCGTGTGCTGGCGGCGGCTTGGGCCCAGTGCAGCCAGGCAGCCTCACTGCGCCCCAGAGGAGGATGAGGAGGAGCAGGAGGCGGGGGGAGAGCAGCAGAGGGGGACGACACGAGGCAGGAGCTGGGCAACCGCGGCCTCCCCTCATCTCACCCGTCTGGCGGGCGAGGCTGGAGCGAGAGAGGGGGAGGAGGGAGGGAAGGGGGGGAGGATGGGGGGAGGAGGGAGGGAAGGGGGGGAGGATGGGGGGAGGACGAGCGAGAGGGGGAGGAGGGGGGAGGACGAGGGAGGAGGGCTGGAGGCGTGGAGGAGGCGCTGTGCGCAGCCCTCCAGTGGAGGCAGAAGCCACGCGCACAAGCCAAGCTCCCCGAGCCGCGTGCAGCCGTGTCGGCGAGGCCCCCCCCCCCCGAAGGCCACCTACACTTGTCTCAACTCGCCCTCCTCTGACCACTTGCACCCTCCTCCTCCTCCTCCTCCTCCTCCTCCTCCTCCTCCTCCTCCTCCTCCTCCATCCTCCTCCTCCTCCTCCCCTCCCCACTCCTCCCTCCTCCTCTCCTCCTCCTCCTCCTCCTCCTCCTCCTCCTGTCCTCCAGAGGAGGGAGGTTGTCTTCACGACGCAAGCCCCCGGACGTCTCGATGGACAGAGCCTCGAGGATTTCAGGCCGACCTCCCCCGTGGGAGAACCCTCCAAAACATCGTCCCCAGACCCCCCCAGCCCCTCCAAGATAGCCTGGAAGAGACCCCCCCCGAAATGAGACCCCCCTCCCTTTATTACGAAATCTGGAGTAGCTCAGATGTGGGTTGCAAGTGCCCTGAGCGGCTTACGGGGGGCAAAGATCTGGACCAAGTCGGCGGAGCCCACTCAGCAAAGTTACCGAGCCCCGTCACGCCACTGTGGGGCAGTTGTGACCCATTGAGAAGCTAGGTCAGGCCAGACGTAACCCACTTTAGCATCCCCTCAGAGCCCCCTATATTCCCTAGCAACGCCAGCGGTGATTCAAGCAAAGGCCGAACCTTGCCGAACATTCCGTCGTGCTTTTTCCCAACTGTCCTGTGGTGCTGGGTCTTCGTTTTGAAGAGACAGTACCCCGCGTCTTACTCTCCCATTTCTCCTCCCCCGACTCCCTCCTCCCATCCCTGCCTCTGCCCCTGCCCTCCACATTTCAACCCTTTCGGCACATCCCTCACACGGTTCGTGGCCCCGTAGGGAGCTCTACCGAAGGCCCCAGCGGCAGGGTTGGCCCCATAGGGAGTTCCACCGAAGGCCCAAGTGGCATGGTTTGCATGGCGGCCTCGGGCCATCTCGGCCAACCCCTCACGAAGATCGTGGCCCCACAGGGGGCCATCTCGGCACACCTTCCACTAGCATCGTGGCCACATAGGGATCACCACCGAAGGCCCAAGTGGCATGGTTCGCATGGTGGCCTCGGGTCATCTCGGCCCACCCCTCACATCGTTCGTAGCCCCATAGGGAGCTCCACCGAAGGCCCCAGTGGCAGGGTTCGCATGACGGCCTCGGGCCATCTCGGCCCACCCCTCACGAGGATCGTGGCCCCATAGGGAGCTCCACCGAAGGTCACAGTGGCAGTGACAGGGTTCGCATAGCGGCCTCGGGCGATTTTGGCACACCCATCAGGAGGATCGTGGCCCCATACGGAGTTCCACCGAGGGCCCAAGTGGCATGGTTCGCATGGCGGCCTCGAGCCATCTCGGCCCACCCCTCACGAGGATCGTGGCCCCTTCGGGAGCTCCACCGAAGGCCTCAGTGGCAGGGTTCGCATGGCGGCCTCGGGCCATCTCGGCACACCTTCCACTAGCATCGTGGCCACATAGGGATCACCACCGAAGGCCCAAGTGGCATGGTTCGCATAGTGGCCTCGGGCCATCTCGGCCCACCCCTCGCGAGGATCGTGGCCCCATACGGAGGTCCACCGAGGGCCCCTGTGGCAAGGTTCGCATGGTGGCCTCGGGCCATCTCGGCCCACCCCTCACGAGGATCGTGGCCCCATAGGGAGCTCCACCGAAGGCCCCAGTGGCAGGGTTCGCATGGCGGCCTCGGGCGATTTCGGCACACCCCTCACACGGATCGTGGCCTCTAGGGAGCTCTGAGCGAAGGCCTTTGTGGCAGCGCCCGTATGCGTCCCCCGCCCATTTCGGCTGACCCCACGCACGTTTCGGGGCTCCCATCCGCGCTGCCCCGTGCTCCATCCCTCTCGCGGCGTGCGAATGAAGATGAGAAAAGCATATCTGGCGTTACTCGCAGCTGCACGTGATCGGGTCCTTCGCCAGGCTCATGTTTCACAACGCGACGGGGCCTGGGCTTGGGGGTCAAACGTCGACCCCTAGACCTCTCCTGGGGTGCGTTCTGACCAGCATTTGGCTGCGAACGTTGTGGCGACGAGAAGCCCCCCAGAGGCCCAAAACAGCCTCGATACCCGAAGCTCGAAGTCCGAAGCTCCTCGTGAGGTCCGTCGCGACACAAAGGGGATCGAAGAGGACGGCCACGCGTGGCGCACGACCGCCTCCGGCCTCTGGCCCCTGTCCCCTGCGCGCACTCTGCTCCGCCTCGGACCACTGATCTGCACAGGAGTTGGAGCTGCTGCAATCCTGGGATCCCACCTGCTGAATCCAGCGGAGGAGTTGGAGTGCGAAGCTCTGTATGGTCCTTTCTTCCCGAAGCGAGCCTTCCTTGTGGTCTCGGTATGAGGAGACGGGCGCGAAAGGCGCAAAGGCTGCCTCCGACCGGGCGCCGCGGGGGGGTCCTGCTGCTCTTGGCCGGGGACTGGGACTGCTCGTGCACGGATGGCAGCGTCAGCGCGCTCTTGGCGGAAGCCTTGCTGTTCTTGCTGACCTTGCTGACGCCTTGGCGGATCGGTCGTCTTCCCCCTCCCCCCCCCTCCCGCCCTCCTCCCTCTCCCTCTCTCCTCCCCTCCCCCACCCTCCTCCGTTTTCCTCTCTTCCTCCTCCTCCCCGTCCCCCTCCCTCCTCCCCCTTCCGTCATCTTCCCTCTGTCTTCTCCCTGCTCCTCACTCCTCCCTTCTCCTCCCCCCCCACCCTCCTCCTTCTTCCTCCCTCCTCCTCCCATTCTCCCTCCCCCCTAACCCCCCTCTCCCCATCCCTCCTTCCTTTTCCTCCCCTCTTACCAACCCTCCTCTCCCCCCCACCCTCCTCCATGTCCCCCTCTCCGCCTCCCTCCTCCCACATCCCACCTCCCTCTTCCGTCCTCCTCCTACTTCCCTCCTCGCCCCCACCCGCACACACACCCGCCCCTCCCTCACAGCACCATCCCTCCTCAATCCTCTACCTCATCCTACCTCCTCCTCCCCCTCCTCCCCCCCCGCCCCTCAAACCCTTCTCCCCCTCCCCCCACACTCTCCTCCCCCTTCCCCTACTGCGTTTCCTCCTCATCCTCCTCCTCATCCTCCTGTCCATCCTCCTTCTTCTCCTCCTCCTCCTCCTCCTCCGTTCTTTTCCTTATACATAACTTATCCCTGTCGCACCCCGAGGCCAGATTTTAGGGCGGGCCTGGCGTTTCGCCTGAGACTGCCTCACCACCTTTTGACTCTGAAGCTTAAGCATTGGCCACAGTTTCACAAATGGAGGGCGGGTGGTTTTCAACATGTGGCTCTCGCCTTAGCGCGGCGCGCATTCGATTTTCATGTTTTGCCAGAGTTTCACAGATTGGAGGCGGGCTCTCGCCTTAGCGCGGCGCACATTCGTTTTAAACAAGTGGAAGAGTTTCACATATTGGCGGGTGGTTTTCAAATTGTGGCTTTCGCTTGAACGCGGCGCACATTTGTTCAATTATTGTAAGAGCTTCATAGATTGAGGGCGAATGGTTTTCAACATGTGGCTCTCGCCCTAGCGCGGCGCACGGTTGCTTCAAAACACTGAAAGGGCAAAACGGATTGAGGGCGGTTTCTTTTCAAAATGTGGCTCTCGCCTCAGCGCCGCGCACCTTCGTTCACAAAAGCTTCAAGCCATTCCCGAATTCCCATCATCAACGTAGCAGACATGGCGTTTTGAAAGGATTCAGGATTATGCGGGTGCAACAATTAGGTTGATTCTCTGTGTCGAAGTCCTCGGAATGGCGTTATGGCACGATTCAACAGTCACAACAGTCAGGTTGATCCGTGGCGTTGGAATCCCGAGAACATAATTTTGGCATGCTTCAGGGTCTTCAAACGGGTGTCTTCCAACGAGGCAGTTCCCTCGATGGAACATGAACCGTTGTAGGGGCCTGTGAAGTGGGAGCTTGGAGGGAGGGTTTACTCCAACATCGTTGATGATTATTGGGCATGCGCTGGTCCTCCTCCTCTTTCTCTTCCTCCTCCTCCTCTTTCTCCTCCTCCTCCTCCTCGTCTTCCTTCCTTCTCCTCCTTCACCTCCGCCTACATGCCATTCCTCCTCCTCCTCCTCCGCCTCCTCCCCCTCTTCCTTCTGCTCCTCCTCTTCCACCTCCTTCTGACACCACTCCCTCCTCCCTCCCTCCCCCCCCCCGCTTTCCTCCATCATCCTCTCTCCTCCTCCCCTTTCCCCCCACCTTCCCCTCCGTTCATCCCCTTCATCCTCGCTCTCCTCCTCTCTCGGCTCCTCTTCCTCCTCCGACCTCGTCGATGTGACCAGAAACCGAAGAACAACTCAACTCCTCCTCCTCCTCCTCCTGCTCCTCCTTTTTCCTCCTCCTTCTCCTCCTCCTCCTCCTCCTCCTCCTTCTCCTCCTTCTCCTCATCGTTCTCCTCCTCTGCCTCCTCCTTCCTCCTCCTCCTCCTCCTCCTCCTCCTCCTCTTTGTCTTCCTTCTCCTCCTCCTCCTCCTCCTCCTCCTCCTCCTCCTCCTCTCCCCGGGGGGTGAGGAGACTGCCTGACTGCATTGGGCAATCGCCGCCGCTACCAGCCGAAGAGAACAAACCCGTTGAAAGACAGGTCTGCGGAGGCCCGCGCGGATATTTTCCATCGGCGCTGGGCCCCCCTTTGGCGGGCTCTGCGCCGCTGGGACAGACCGTCCAGCACCGGTCCAACACGCAGGAGCAGACCTCCGAAATTGCACGCCTGTGTTTTCAGTTCGTCGTCAAATCCAACACGCGGCAGCCCTGGAAACTGTCTGCAGATTCCTGGAGGCTCTTGGGTTCCAGGCTGCCTTCCATCGATTGTACCTCGTGGAGGTGCGCCCTGTAAGAACGGTTTTTTGAAGGCAGATCTGCCTTCAAAAAACCGTTCTTACAGGATAGCTTGTCCGCAACCGCCCCACGGGTGTACTTGCAATTTATGACCAGCGTGGAAAAAAAGAGAAACGAGAGATCAGGGCGCCGTGTGAAAATAGACTGCGGGCAATTGTGCCCTGCAGCAGAACTCTGGACGCTCACATATCGATCGGCCTCGAGCACTGCCGCATGAAAGCGGGTTCGAGAATGCAAGTCGCGGCTTCCACAGCACCAGATCTCGGAAAACGTGGTCTGAGGCTCGGCAGCCTCGAACCAGCCGGTTCAAGGATGGACCGGACTGTTACCAGAAGTGGCCCCCACATCCTACCCTCTGACGCGCTGACACGTTCAGTCAACACGTGAGGTCGGAGCGCTCTGTATAGGAAGGCGCCAACTATACACCAACACCGATCCTGGCCAGGATCGGTGTTGGTGTATAGTTGGTGCCCTCCGACTGTATGAAAAAGGATGACGGTGATCACGACGATGAGGATGCTGAAGATGATGGTGCCGATGGTGGTGGTGAAAATGATGGCGATGTGCGCAACGGCTGAGGGGCGACCGCCGCTCCGCGCGCTGAAAGGCCCGGCCGGAAAACAGACCAATGCGAGACGAAACGGGTCGGCTTCCCGGGCAGCACGAAGAGGCTCACGGACGAGGTCCTCAGAGAGGTGTGGAGCCGTCGAGGTGGATGCTGGTGACGAGGTACGGCAGGTTCGTGTCGTGCCGACCCCAGCGTTGGTTTTTGACACCGCAGGGATCGTTCAACCTTGAACGATCGGCCGCTGCCGCAACGTCCCATCGTTCAACATCGATCGATTCTGGGTCGCCGGCGGCGTTCAACCTTGAACGTCCGCGCTGGGGTCGCCGCTGGTCGACACGACGCAAACCTACCGTAGCCGCCCCTTGGAGGAGTTTGAGCGCGGCGTGCATGGTGGGGATCTGGGTGGAGGTCTGGTCGTGCAGCTTCTGGAAGAGATGGCGTCCTTGTCGGTGAGCATCTGGTCGGATTTCTCGCAAACGGCCGACAGCGCGGCGCCAATGCGAACAGACAGGCCATCGACGAGCTCCGTAAGCTGGAGCTTGGCGTCGGTCTCCCTCTCGATCTCCGTCTCGTCCATCGCCTTCGCGTGGCGCTGCTCGCTGGCGTCAAGGCAGGGGCGTGCGAAAGGCGAGGGGTTCTCGTGAGCGTCGCCAGTCACATCGGATGCTCAAGACGCGAAGCTCGCGAAGTAGACGGCGCTGTCCTCCGGAGTTTGTCTTGCACGAAGCTCCGCACGTGGGGCGCGACGCTCATCTCGCGGAGCGCGATGCTCCGCGTGCTGGTCGTGGAGATCGGCGCGCGGCGCGCGAGGCTCAGCCCGGTGGGGCGCGAGGCTCTGCCCGTGGAGCGTGCTGTGCCGCATGCGGAGCGCGTGGAGATCAGCCCGCGGGGAGCGAGGATCCGCGCGTGGAGCGTGAATGAAGGGGCCCCAGGACACACAAATCAATACACACAAATAAACATGTTCCCCACATGTTCCCATATTTCCTGGGTTTTCCGTCTTCCCCCCCACTGCCCATATTTTCCCATACTCTCTGGGACATCGACGATTCATTGTGTCTGTGTGGTTCTTTCCCCTCCTGAGTGAAGTGCGCCCCGCGGAGGGTGATCCTCCGCACGCTGAGCGAGGTGCTCCGCGCGCGACGCGCGAAAACCTCAGCTTTTACGGGTCGACGGGATCCGCCCGCGGAGCGCGAGATGCTCCGCGCGCGCGGGAGCGGGGCGTCTCGCGCCCGCGGAGCCCGCGATGCTCCTCGCGGGGAGCGGGATGATCTCCGCGCCCGAAGCGCGGCGGTCGCCACGTGCTGCCTGGGCCTCGTCGTGCGGAGCCTGAGGATCTCCGCCCGCGGTGCGCGGGGCACCTCGCGCAAAAGCGTGAGGATCTCCGCGCGGAGCTCGGGGATCCGCGCGCGAGGCGCGAAGATTCAGCACGGGATGCGCGGTGTTCCGCGCGTGGAGAGGCGCGTGCAGCGGCAGCGTCTCGTCGACGCAGCCGGGCTATGCGCGGCGTTGGCATGGATGTCTGAGCGAATGGAGCCGCCGTTGGCGTCGAGGCAGACGTGGGCCAGCCCGCATCCCCGGCCGGCGACGTCGCGAGGGATGGAGAAGAGCAAAATAAGCGAGACAGCGGCGTCGAAGACACGCCGTTGGTGGGCTCCTGAGTGCTGCGCTCGGCAACTGCGTCGAAGATGGAGATCGTGCGCGGCGGCGTCGTCGTCGGCGCAGGGCAGCAGGAAGCAGACGCTGTCATCGGCATGCACGCTGGCCTCTTGGCCCCCCCGATCGGGCTCGCTACCCCGACGAGCAGCCGAGGAGGATGAGGAGGAGGTGGAGGAGGAGGAGGAGGAGGAGGGGGAGGAGGAGGAGGAGGAGGAGCAGGAGGAGGAAGAGGAGGAGGAGGAGGAGGAGCAGGAGGTCCACGACCATGGCGCAGTGCAAGAGGTGAGGCGATGAGTCAACAGGCGGGCGCCGCGCGTCGGCGGCAGCGCCGCGCAGGCCGCGCACGTGCGAACTTGGAGACGCCGGACCCGAAGGGGAACTGCGTGCACGGCCTCGCGAAGGAGGTTTGCGTGGCCGCAGTGCAAGACAACGCGGCGGGAAGGCGCGGGGGCGTCCG